CAGTAGTAGGATTAGTAGTAGTAGTAGTAGTAGTAGTAGTAGTGATAGTAGTAGTAGTAGTAGTAGTAGTAGTAGCAGGAGAAGGAGTAGGAGTAGGAGTAGGAGTAGGAGTAGGAGTAGGAGTGGGAGTAGTAGTAGTAGCAGTAGTAGTAGTAGTAGTAGTAGTAGTAGTAGTATCCGCCCCTCCGCCCCCTGCCCCCCGCGGCCCGCCCCCTACCCCCCAACCCCCTCGCCCACCCTTCCCCCCACCCCACCGCACGATGCAGTTCAACTGACATGACATGGTCTCTCTCCTGTTTGCATCAGCTCGGACTCGGAAGGCTCCCCCTCGACCTCGGCTGTTCAGAGGTCTTGGTGTGCTGTATACGCAATGCTTGAGCCGGGGCAACTAAAGATGCAAGACTGCATGCAGGACGAAGGCAAGAAATACAATGCTAGTGGGTGTCGACCCATCACGACAAGCCCATTGCCGCTCTTCCATAGCCAAGAATAGCTTCTGGAGTGTTTTCACGATGATATTGTTAGGATCATGTGTATATGATTGTGGTGACTACGGGCATCATGAGCAGTGTTGCCGGTGTGCTTGTCAACTAGAGCGCTTCAATGGTCAGCCTTGCGTTCGTTGCTTTGGAGACACGATCATGTCGAATCGCACCTGGGCTCACGGCGTGTTCCCGGTCCATTTCTGGTGGGGACCTAAGTGTCGGTGAACGCATCGGGTCGTGGCACCGGGGGATCACGAACGAACGTTTTGCATGGGTCCTCGGGGCTAAAAACACCAAGCGATCAGCCATTCGCAGCCTTTTCTAGCGGTATTCAAATTTCCGAAAGCCTTAACCCAAATCATGTTACACTAGTCTGTTCGCCCGAAACCAAGACTTCCAACCACCCAAATGCTGAAGGAGACCTTGCTCTAGGCCCGCACCCTAGCGGCCCTGCCCGAGCATCCTCCGATGGCGGGAAAGGCTCCTGGTGAGGCTCAGTAGGATTTTTGTTTGTTCTGATGGTGGTGGTGGTGGTGGTGGTGGGCGTTTTTGAAGTTAGGAGCATTTGCCGCGGCAAGTACACTAACCTGCAGCAGCGGACAAGCACCGAATGGCAGCGAGCACCGAGCAGTATGCTCCGTCTGAGGAAGGGGTTCTGCGCGCGGCGGTGCCATGACCTGAATGGCAGGCTGAAAGCGTGTGGGCCCTGCTAGTTGCTGCTGCCATCTGTACGCCCTTCGCCTCAACTGAAGCGAGGGCAAACTTGCATATCACCACCGGCACGATCCAGCAAGCCGTAGTCGTTTTTCCCGAAGCCGGCGATTCTGGGTCGCACGCCCTGTAGTGTGGGGAGCCGGGAGGTGGCGCCTGACAGTCAGTCGGTCGCAACTTTGAGAGGCTTTACGCACTCTTAGCATTGCTGCTGCATTTTGTGGGAACACGACGTCCGTAAACCTTTCGATAGTTTCTCCCGGATTCTCGGCAAAAAGCACTCGTTCCTACATGCGAGCTAGTACCTAGAGGACCTGCACCCTTTGGGTCTGGGGCCGCTTAGAGGCTAAGGGCGAGGGCTTCATGAATTGATCTGCTTGGAATGCAATACAGAGATTCGAAGCGCTGGGTGCCTCACTACGTTTTCAGCCCGATGCTTGGTGTGCAGGGAAGAAGGTTGAAGGGGAGAAGCCTCTGTAGTCTGTAGCTGGAGACTTCTAAACCTGGAGAAGGATACTCATCCCACACCTTAAATCGTACTTAACATCCCATGATACTGTGACCCTTAAGCCCGGAACTCCAAACATCTAAAGTCTTCGAGCGATCACGGGATAAACAGCGCGCCTTGGATGGAGGATCAGGAGCTGACATGGCCCAGATCTCTGCTTCATCCACCTCCTTGATAGAAGGGTCTATGACGGAATGAGGGCTTGACAAGCTAAACATGTTTGCACACGCTCAATCGTGAGCTTTGTGAGGTCTTACTGTTTATGGTGCTTTGCAGAGTGGCTTGGGGTTTGAAGAGCTCAACGTAAAGTTCAAAGGCTTGCCGGGCTTTGTGAAGCCTCAGAGTCGATGATGTGCTGTTGTTGAGAATCATTATTCAATTTTCTCGAGCGCTTAATCATCAGACTCCGGAGATTGCGAGGGCCAGCTTCAATGACCAAAAGTCGCTATAGTAGTTTGTAGGAATTGAGTTTTGCCATTGCTGGGAGACTGTAGTCTGGTTGCTTCTGCACCGGTTCTCCGTCCACACAGGTGCGAGTTATCACTGGAACACGGACTTGAAGCTGAAACCAAGCACGGGTCGAGAAGCTCAGCCGTAAACCCACACCACGGCTAGTTAGCATGAAGGATCTACAGTCTACAGCGCCTCTTCATCTTCGTCGTCATCGTCGAGGTCGTGGTCAAGGAATGGATCACACGCCTGCAGCCACTGCTACATGACATGGGCAACAACAGCTCGCGCTGTCAAAAGCGCAAACTGATTGTGATCTGTACTGGGCGTTGAAGCGTTTGGTCCATTGTGCTCTTTCTGAGTCTTGCTTTACTCCCCTCCAAGCCATGCTATTTGTCCAGGAAGCTGTTGCATGAGGAGCTCTGATGTTACCAAAGATTTCTCCACTTGTACTAGCTACTTATCTGTTACAACACGACTCTCCGCCGCGGACAGTGTCACGAGCGCAGGCTTGATGCGCTTCATCTGCTGCGAAACCCCAATTCCTCGATGTGCCCTACTTGCTAGAAATGCCACCGCTGGTATCACCGTTCATGAAGACAGCAGCAACAACAACAGCAGCAGCAGCACAAGCACCTGCCACAACAACATCAAAATTAAAGAAGCTGACGTGGGGGCAACTCGAGAACAATCCCTGCTGCTGTGATGCTAGAACCGAATACGATGTCAATATTTATTTGTCGGCGTTGCATTTGCTATCATGTCTTCTACGCTCCACAAGGATATGTCTGCATTTCGGGTACTCATCTCAACATAACGACAGACACTGCCGGGTCCCGAAAGCCTCTGCTGAGCTGTGGGGCCTCAGTGTATTCCGCAGACATGGAATATATGCAATATATGCATTTCGGGAATTGGGGTTTCAGGTCATCGTGAAATGCTGTTCCAAAGGTGAACCTGGCAGAATGCCTTTAGGGAGCTAGACTGCTATGCAAGGTTATTTAGCAAGAAGTTAGGGTAAGTCAACGGCCAGTCCCAGAGCAAGTCAACGGAGAGCTGGGTGCTCGAGCTGGGCGCATGACCATATTATCTTGAACTGAGAAGCTTTACAGAGTAACAGGCTTCTTCACTGCCGGCCGCCGAGCGGCTCTTTGCTGTGGCTGCTGGCAGGCAGTGTGGGCGGCTCGCTTGCGGCCTTCCCAAAAAGCCAGATTTGTTTATGGTTTCGCTGTCCACAGAGGGTTCAGGATAAGCAAAGAAGAAAGAACAATAAACAGTAATCATACTGATACTCCACGCCACAGTCATGGTCATGATGATTTATTGCAGGGATATGAGTCGCCGAATGAATTCCAGCAAGAAATGCCTTTTTGCATTGGTGTACATGGACATCGATGTTTGTTGATTACGATTGGGAGTCCCATTCGCTGCGAATTTTGGTTCAGCAACTCCAGTTGCAGTGGCTGCCCATTCATGGGTGGCACGGCCTCCCCGACCTTGTCAGCGGCACTCCTTCGTTGAAAAGGTACCGGCTTTCGTCGCCGTAGTGAAAGTAGTAGTAGAAGTAGTAGTGCTGGTAGTGCTAGTGGGAGCGGTAGTGGTACGATGTGGTACGTACTCGCAGAAAGTCATCGTAGTGGAACAAACCCACAAAGATGATGCTGACTACTGTCCGTAGCAATCATCGTGCTCTCCGTCCTCGCTGGGGTGTTCTGTGCCGGCTCGTCCTGACCGAGGATGGGGGTGCAAGCAACACCGCAGGACGGAGGGTGTCATGTTTCACGACATGCTGCTGCGCAGATACATGTGCAAGATAGGCTTGGTTGGTCAAAGGTTTGGCACAGCTTGGCAAATAGCCGTTCTGTACCCCAATTCTTGGATCATTGAAGACTGTGAAGAAGCACACGGTATTTGTGAACATGATGACGATGATCTTGGGTGATGGTGATGGTGATGGCGCAGGCAGAGACACTGAAAGTGCAGGACGAGCAGCAAACAACCGAGGAAAAGAGATGGCGGCGACGGATGTTGGCGGGAACGACGGTGCGATGGCAGGAATTACTGTACAGATAGCTGATAATAACGACACGTAATACACCTATGTCGATGATTCTGTTGATGTTCAGGTCGATGATGTTCAGCATCATCATCGTCATCATCATCATCATCATCATCATCGTCATCACCACGAAAGTCATCGGCAGCAATTGCATCATGGTCTTGTTGACATGGAGGCATGCTGGTGAACTAGATGGTGGTGATGTCGCTGCTGATCATGGCAATGGTGGGTAGGAGACCACAGGCAACACGATGATGAATGATGATGTTGAAGATGACGACGACAGCGAGGCTAACACCGGTAATTGCAACCGAGGATCTAAAAAGCAGTTCATCTAGGCTAGAAAAATATTGACGGTGATCTCAGTGGAGACCAACGGCATATGGTGATTGCTATGAAACGGTAGTGGCACTGTTGATGATGATGATGATGACGACGCTGGCATTGGCGATCTACAATCAAGCATGTCAAGAGTGTGTTGACGGAATGTAACTGTCTCCCCAGATAGATTCGGGATCTAATTGAAATACTCATCGCTGGTAGAAGATAATTATGTGGAGCCTGTCTTGCAGAAGAGCAGACAATGCTGAAATCCACTCTGCTACGAGCATCAAGTTCATGCCTGGTATTGTCCTCAAACCCCTGCACAGCGCAACCCTTGCCATGTATCAGATCCTCTCTGCGGATGAAGGCGTCCTGGCTGGCTTCCGCGTGACGGTCTCCTGTGGTGCATGAGCAGTCATAGATGCCAATGAGAAAACAACAACGACCTGCAGCAACAAATTCTGAGCCCTAAAGTGTTCGCCATCTCCGGAAGCCCCAAAGTCTGTGCAACAGGCTGCCTACAGGAGCACGCGGTCAGGTTAAAACGCCCCGGTCCAAAAACGTTCCCGGAAGCCTATGAATATACATTCGACGGGTAACACATCCGACAGTCCTTCTTGCTCTTGGCCTATCTGCGCGGCATCAGTGCTGCTAGGGACCTCATGAGGGCTTCGAAACTTCTACTGCACGTGTGTCCAACCAGGTTCTCATCTCTGCCACCGCTATTGCGATGACTGCTATTGATATTTTCCCTACAATTTCTACTATCTAGCAATCTCATACGGGGTCTGCTGCTGCTGCCGGCGATGATGATGATCATGCTGAGGAGGTCGATGTCGATGATGGTGATGATGCTGAGGATGATGATGATGGAATGGTACGATTGCTGCTGCTGTTCTTGGTGACGACCAAGACCAAGACTAGACTGATAACGCTCTTATTGCTCCTGCTAAACATGATCATGACAGTCGGGGGACCACGCCGATCATGGAGACGGCCAAAGATAGGACGGTGCTTGCACGAATATGGTGGAGGTGATAATGGCAAGGATGAAGCCTGAGAAAAAAGATAAACATAATTGTCAAACGATACATCTTACCTGTACATGCTGACGACGATGAGGATGCCAGTGTGGCTGTTGATGGTGATGCCGATGGTCGTGATGAAGCTGACGATGATGAGGTTCATGATGATGGTGATGCCAACGATGAGATCACGATGATGCTGCAATGCATATTACTTGTACTGTCATCCTTGCGAGTTTCCACGGCCATGGCTCGAGCTAAGTTTCTTGTGAACTGGTTCTGAAACGTTGGGGGGCTTGTGGTGGCTGTCTTACATTTCACGAACACGGGGCTTTGGCATGGTTGCCATGGAAGGCTGAGCTTTTCCGGCCCTTGCCGCCTACATCCTGGCTTGAGGCGGTTGTGTCGCGAAATGAGACTCGTTCACGACAGGATCTTCTGGGGCGTGAACCACGGACGCAGGTTCACCTCGGGTATCATGGAATTTATGACTGGAACGAAGCGCACTTGCATATGTGCATCCTGGCCGTGGATTGATTCAAAGGCCGTTCCTAAGCTGTAAGTAGCTTGTTCAGATTGGGGACGTGGACCTTTTAATTGTGACATGTGTGCAGTGAGGTCAAAGCCACTACTACCTTGACATCTGTGGCCTAAAGCCGGGAATCTTGCATGTGGGCGAGAGACATTCTCGTGCCGAGGAGTCCGCATGCAATGAGGCTACAAAGTGCAACTTGAAAGAGTATCTGTCGCAGCAGGTGCCAGGGGAATTGGCTCAAGCAGCGCCTGTCAGCAAGCAGGAAGTCTCTAAATTTGGGCCGACCAGTGCCTCGCAGCGACGTCCCTAAGGCCCGGTCTTGGAAAAGATCCCTGGGCCGCCGTAGGCTCCTTTGCGCAGGCAAAGGCGTCATCAAGGTGTGCCCATGACAGTTTGCAATACCTGCCGAAGATTGCCGAAGTGTAACTCAGATTCAGAGCTAAGGCTGCGAGCTGCGATTCTCTCCGACTCCTCTTTTTATGCATGTAAAGTATATACATGTATATACACATTTCACAGGTCTCGCGAGGAGCTCAGGCGCTCAGCCTTCGTTCTCTGCCTCGTAGTCGGCATCGCTGGCCTGCAGATGCAAATTACTGCCGGCACTGTGCGAGCGGAGCCGAGGGCTGGTCAAGAGGCGCCGCGCCGCTTGCGAGGCGCTGGTACGCCAGGAGCGGTAGCCCCGACGCGATCCGTACTCCACTTCGTTGACGCTCTTTTGAACGGCCTGATCGGCGTCAGCGGCGATTGTGGCGTGCACCGCTTCAGGGGCCTGTGGGAGCCAAGCCCTGAGTTCTGGAAGTGCCGCTTCGTAGCCGCTTTGGGAAATCTCTTCGAACTTTGCGAAGTCAAGGAGCCCGTAGTTGGTGATGTCCGGGCAAATCACAAGGTCTGCTCGGGAGCTGTGCGACTCCTTCATGGCCTCCACCAGAAACATCAAGCGCTCCTGGATTTCGGCTTGGCTGGGAGGGTCCCCGCTAGCACGGCGACAGCAGCCAAAACGTCGCTGTAAAGATACCAGACCACCTCGGACCACGTCACCATAGTCAGTGCAAACCGGAGAATAGTCTGGGCATGCGACGATGCAAATTACGGTGCCGGCCCCGTGGTCTTTCAGAGCTTCTATGGGGTACTGGTTTACATACCCTCCATCCACAAGCAGCGTCGTGCTGACTTTGCCATCTTCCCTTCTCTCCTGGTGTGGGATTGGTGGCACAAACCCGACGAGGCTCATCGAAGCACGGATCACCCTCCAGAGAGGGCCATCCCTGTGGACCTTCTCCTCAAAGTGCACTATGTCCGTGCTGGTACATGCAAACGGAATCAGAAGGTCCTCCAGTCTGCGGCGGGCGAAGATCTCTTTTAGAACACTGTTAAGGTAGGCCCCTGTGAAGTAGGCAGTTCTGGGAAAGTTCAAATCCAGCATCATTTTCCGGGCCGAAAACTGTTTTGTCATCACCCTCTTGACCAGGGCCGGCAGCGAGCTCGGTTCGGGTGCACTCATGGAATACATCGCCCCTGCTAGCGCACCGAACGACGTGCCACTCACAATATCGATGGGTATGCCGAGTTCCTGCATCGCCTTTATGACGCCGAAGTGGCAATTCCCTCGAGCACCCCCTCCACCGAAGCAGACGCCAATGGCTTTACCTGCAAGCAGCCGTGCACACCTGTTCCAGTCAACAGAGTCCCCGTGGCCAACGCGGACGTGGTGCCAGCTGCTGGCCCACGGCCTGGGATTAAGGTAGTGCCGCGTGGACCTCATCATTCCTCCCCCACGGTGTGGAGCAAAGAGGTGGTGCCGGACGAAGCCTGTGACACCTGGCCGAAGCGAATCGGCCCTTGCGGCGGCACCAACGAACCAGTCGTCCATTGAGGAGAGCTTGGAAACTTTGCCGCTCTTTCCTTGTACTCCTTTGTGCAGCAGAAGCAACTCTCTGGTCACGAAAAGGGGTGCTGCATCGCGGACGTGCTTCTCATTGAGAGTCTGCGGCACATCGCCGCGGCCCTGGCCGTTAAAGTTGGTAGCGACGAGGATGATGTCAGCCTGATGCCAGAGGTTGGGAGTGCTTACGACGTGTAAAGAACACCACCTTAGCCTGGGCTTGTGCGATCTCCAAGATGATCCCTGTAACCTGCGTGCCAAAACCCTATTCACCAGTACTTTGGGGGTGGAAAAAGGGGCCATTTTAGTGCATGCCAGGCATCATACGGGACCCAAACCTCATCTAGCCTAGTGTGCAAGGCTCTTGGAACCTTCGGCCCTACCATGTTTTACCTTTAACACCGATTAAGCAAGCGCTGTTGGCCCTGAGAAGAACATGTTCCAACTCTTCTCGAGGTGCTAAGCTAAATGTCAGAAAGCTTATCCTGCGGCACTGCTTGACCGGTCTTGCGGTCTATGTATACATTGGAACTGACGCTTGAGTATATTGAAGTTGATGGACGAGGAGCATGCAGTTGAGAAATGCTGAAAACTGGGGTTTTGGCAACGCTAGTCGGTGTTTCGGCCTGTTGAGGCTTCGATGAACGTATTACTACGGGACATACCCAAAGTACCACACCTGTCACACGAAAAAGGTTTGGATGTACTGAAACTTGAACAGGACATAATAGGACATGAAATGATGTAACATGACATGAGACATGAAGTGTGATATGTCCTGACATGATATGGTCTAAGTTTGCACATAGAACCGATTTACTACATATGTATATACGTAGATATATATATATATATATATGATTATATATGTATGTATTATAAATATATTATATTATATGGCATATACGTATACGTTCCATACAAGCAAGATGAGCATTTCTCATCGGAGCAAGTTCATCCGATGCGGTTCACTGTGATAGGCACATCTGACGAAGTTGATCCGATGCAGATTTCTCAGGGATTATGCAAAAGTCGTTGTCAACCAATATGAATTTGCCAATGTTTTTACCAGGATTCGAAGATGTCTACACTCCATTCAGGTGGGATGAGGATTTCTCATATGAGCAAGTTCATCCGATGCAGTTAACTGCGATAGGCACAAAGGTCGTTCAACAAAGAACGTTATTATTCCCACCCCCCCGCCCCACCCACCTCCCCCAGTCGCAAGAGCAAGCCAAAAAGTAGGCGCAGTTATCCCACCATGTGCTGAAACAAGCAGTTCCCGACACAGGCTTTAGTGAGTTCACCTATGGTGCAATCTTGCAGCCACACACCAAACAGAGTGTACATGCAAGGGTTTTTCCTAAACATGTTTAGACGCGCATCACGTGCCCAGCCCAACCCCGCCTGACGGACGCACCGCCTGGTCCAGTCCGTGACCCCTTTGCTGCCGGGCGCTTCCGCCTCGTAGACCAGCCAGCGATTTCTCTCCTCCAGATCGGCTAAGAGTCGGGCAAGACGCCCTTCGTCCAAGTTTCTGACAGCTCCTTGAACCCCTGGTGCCGCACAGAAGAGATCTGTGCTCGGTGTAATGTGCATGGCATTGCCCAGCACAGTCAAAGCTGCCGTCAATCTGGAGCAAACACGGTTTATGTCCACATCTGCGGTGGCAGGAACAACGGTGATGGTCGTCTTGTACTTGGCGCTGGCAGAGGCCTCCGACTGGGGCGGCTTCCGGCCGATCTGCGAACTGAAATGAAGGATAGCTCTCGGAAACTCAAGAGCCACAACCTGCAGGAGCATCGGCGAGACCCTGCACACCTCGGTGTCGCGCGATGCCTGCACTGTCTGCGAGTAGGTCGAGTTGCGCAAGCAATCGAGCTCGCCACAGAGGCTGCCGCGCAAGAGCACCTCTCGCACACGAATCCCGGGGAGACTGGCTCTGCTCCGGAGTTGTGGCATCCGCGGCATAGGCTCCTCTGTGTCCTCAAGAGCGACGAGACGTCCCGATAACACGATGAAGAAGCCACACATCGGATCGCCTTGCCTGTACAAACATCGGCTGCCCTCGACGCTTAGCCACTCCAAACAGGCATCCACCCGGTGGAGCCATGTGGCTGTTCGACCTACAATAAGGTGGAGCAGAGTGAGGGTGAAGCTCCTTGGAAATCGCGCCAGTAGACGCTGGCATGCCTCTCTCGGCAATGCTGCGAAAGTACACTTTGATTGGCAGCGATACTGGATCGGCGAAGGCTTGTCTGTGAGGATGGACAACTCGCCTATGGCATCTCCTGGTGAAACCATCCCCTTTAAGGGCTCTCCACTCTGCTCTACGACCAGGTCGCCTTCCAAAAGGATCAACAGGTGCTTGGCCCGCGACTGTGGGGGAAAAGCCAAGTCTCCTGCGGGTCGGACGATGGTCTCGGCCAAGTCGCACTCCTCGCTTTCCGCTACGAGAAGTTGACGGAAGGCTGCAGCTGGAGGTGTGCTAGCATCTGGGGCATCTAATATTCTGGAGCGGGAGGGAATCATAAACTCCCGTCTGAGACCAAAGTGGGTCGAAAGAGTTTGGAAGACCACTGTGGAGAGACGGATACAGAGGCGCTGCACCAACCACTGCATGGCCTTTGGGAACTTATCGAAGGCATCGCTGAAACACTCAACCTGAAGCTTTGCGACAGTGGCACCCTCCGTGCCCGCCGACGCGGAGCTGCTGTGCACCGTGCATGGTACAGGGGGATCAGTATCGGAGCATTGTGACTGCAAGCTGGCCAGGACGTAGAGCAGTCCGACGATGGCATTCCCAGGGACGACTGTGTAAACGTCAGATGTAGGTCGGTTGCCAGGTTGTACGATCACCTCACCCTTTCTCACAACCAGAAATGCAGAGCGGGGGTCGCCATGATCGAAAATCGACTGGCCAGGTGCGAAGACCACATCCTCCATCTGGCTTTCAAGGAAACGGAGGCACTCTGCTTCTGCATCGCCGAGGCCGAAGCCGCCAGATGCCCCGGCAGCACTGAGGAGCAACCCACTGCCAGCAAGGCGTTCCTTTTCCTGCAGAACGGATGCCATCTGCCGGTCGAAGCTCTGCGTCGGGCTTCGCGATGTGGCCGGCTGAGCCTCGTTGATGTCCTCGAAGTCTGACTCGCCCGAGGAGAAGCGCTCCAAGAGTTGGAGCTCGGGCGGCTTCGGCCGCTTCCCCCGCGACTCCAAACGGCCACTTCGCGAATCCCGCAGGCCGCGCTCCCAGGACAGATTGATGAACCAGCGACCCACCACATAGGTAAGGTACACCGAGGGCACTGAGATTAGAACCGTAGCCCAAAGAGGCTGTGTGAACAACTTTTGTGTGAGCAAACTAAATGCATATCCGATCAGCAGCCAAAAGGCTTGCGTGACCTGAAAGGCTGCAGAGACCAAAAGCTCCAGCTGAGACCAGAGAGGTGCCACTGCATCGCTGCTGACCTCCAAAGCCGCAGAGGCGGCTGACACTGCCACGGAGACTGCGTTCGCCACGCTTTCCATGGCAATGGCGTCTTACAGTACTTGAACAACCCTGTGCACTTCTCAAGACCAACGGAGAAAGCCAGCAGCTAGCATGCCAAACAACCGATGTAAGCAATGTAAGCCCTCTTATATGTTTTGCAGCATGAAGACCTGGAGAGCCAAAACCAGTCAATCGCCAAAGCTTGGATCCTCGCTATCAAGAATTGACACCTGCCAGCCAAGCCCTTGGATCCTTCGAGACCTCGCCGCGAGGAGGCGGCTCCTGCATGCTCAAGAGAAGGCTCCGCTATGGGCCCAATGCCCTACCGACTTTGAACCTCTCCTCTTAACCCATAAACCGTGAACCCACTGTCTGTACAGTACATGGAGACGTCGGAATATGTGTGTGCGAAAAACGGTTGAGCTTCGCCAAATCGCTCGGCTTTCGGCTTTCGGGCTCCAGCATGTTGCTGGTTCTTTAGATTTAGCATTCAATCAGTGAAAAGGGCACCAACTGAAGGTGTTTTGAGGTTTGGGCATGTGGTGTTGTCACCAGTTCTGTGGATGCTCCCAGTCCGTGAAAGTTATACACACACACACACAACTCGGTGGGTTTATATCCCAGGAAGCCAGGCCGGTATCCTTCACGCGAGGCTCCGAGGCCTTAGACGGACTTAGTTTCAGGCTCGTGCCAAGGCCAAGATGTGTCAACTCTTACATTGATCGAAACTTCCAGCTCACCGACAGGATGCAAGTCCAGCATCCCGGAACCGCTCTCGTGCAGGGTAAGGGGGGATTCGGCGATTTGGGACTCCGAGCTTCGTGCTTGTGGAGGTCACGGTTCATCGGCAAACGTAGGCTTCAAAACCACTTCGTCCAGAAATATGCTCAGCTCCGAAGCAATTGCGGAGATATATCCGTTGGGAACGAGCGGGGGGCCCGGGTCGTCACCATGTTCAAGGTCCAAGTTGGCATGTAGACCCAGGCTCGAAGATTCGGACATCCAAAAAAACAGCGGTCCTAAAAGTCAAGAGTGCAAAGACTGGATCCCCTAATTTTCAACATTTCAGAAACCAACAATTTCAGAAACCAACATTGCAAGCTGAGCTGTGGCTCTGGCGGCGACGCCCACTGCTCCCTGTCGTCGTGAAGGCGCAGGAGGTGCCTTGACCCGGGTGCCTGCGGTTGACACTGACTCGGCCCTTATGGGGAAGGGGGGAGACGATGGCTGCGGCCGAATGTCACTCAAACCAAGCTACACACTTGGTCACTTGGCTCAATGCTGAACGGTCCTCCGACAGACTGCCCTTGGCTTGGCGCCGCCGGAAGCGTTTCCTCCCGAAGGTAGCAACTGAAGGTCGGGGACGACATGGATTCGCATGGCCCGAGAGATCTTCATGGTTTTTGCAGGGGTGGTCCCCGAGAATGCATTCCCTCAGCCCTGCGAACTCGCACGCGAGCCGCATCGCTCTGCGCACGGAGCACAAACCCCAAGCCCCAAGAACGCTCAGGCATTTGCTGGCCTGTGGCCTTGTCTGTGTCTGGGCTGGGGGTGGGCTGCGACTCCTCGGCCAAACGCTGGAGCTCAGGTTCCCAGGTCAGGCCGCAGCAAGGTGATAAAAGAGGTTAGCATGGCAGAACCTAGAGATCGGATATGAAAACACCCGCTACTTCGAAAAGCAACGATGTACAATGCATACGTATGTAGGCAAGTACAGGTAGGTATGCATGTACGTACGTTGTATGTACGTACGCAGGTATGTATGCATGTATGCATGCAGGCATACGGCTGTGTCGCGGTACGAGGATGGCTCCAGGCCAATTGACAGATCGCTATTGTTGAGGATGTGCCTCCCGGGGTTTACATCTTTGGGCCAGGGCCTTTAAGCTGCTGGAAGTTGCTGATGCGGTGGGCTGTGGTTGCTGCACTTTTTGTGCGTGTCGGAAGCTTTTGGACCAAATAAATACGGCTGATGACTGTGACATGACGCACATTGTGCTGGGAGTCTCTGCGGATTGCAATGCCCTGTTGTGGACTATGAGAGGAGCATGAGTTCATCCTTTCGGGACTCAGCTTGCTTCCGCTGTGACCTTTAACTTTTTGAGTTTTTTTTGAATTTTGCATCTGCAAGATGTCATCGGAATCGCAACTGTAACATGGTGTCGGAGCGAAGTGGGCGCGGCCTGTGCAGCAGTCCTCATGTGTCTCGCAGAGGTCGTACATTTTGTGAGATTCCGCGGGCACCAGCTGATCAATGCCCTGATATGCCCTGAAGAAGCATCATGTCATATAGGCTGTGAATGCAGAACCCTCGAGCCCTTCCCACCCGGAGAATGTTGAATACACCTCCGAAAAGCCTGGATATGCCTGGAGCCGAGTGTCGGCATGGGTGGTGGCCCAGGCGTCGCCGTCGCGGCAAGAGCCGGGCTAGCGAGCCTTGGGGATTCAGCAGCTGGACACCTGCTTGGAGCATCTTGGAGCCTGGAGCGTTGCCGATTCTCAAAGCCTGCGCCTGCCTGAGAAAATGATGGTGTGGTCGTTGATGATGAGCAGCGCACCAGCAGCAGCTCCAGCTCCAGCAATCAGCAGCATCATCGTCAACACAACGTGTACACCCTGTTTCATCATCACCTCTGCTGGTTCGAGAGGGTTAATCAAAACTCAGCGCTTCTCCTTCGCAATCTTGACTGTCCGGGACGGGTGCAGAAGAAGTCATTGGATACTGAGGGCATCGTAGTCTACAGGACTTGGCCGATTCACCCAGAGTGAAAACACGGGAGTCCGCAGAAGACCGAAGCGGCACTCCGAAATAGTGGCTGTGGAGAACGTTTGCTGATTAAAACGGAGTGTTGAGTGGAGGCACTGCAGGAGAACAGCCGCTGATCCGACACCCGGGCCCCTCACGATGGTGGCTGGCGCGGCGGCTGCTTCACCATGGCTTTTGGGGCCTCAAGAAGGAAGCTCCGCGAACAACAGCCATTTGCTAAGGAGTTCTTGGCAGAGTTTAGGGTGCACTGTTTTATTGTTTTGACAATCGCTGCGGTGGGTGTGGCCTGATTTTTGCTTGGGACACTTTCTTGACATCTGCTAGCGGCCATCTACGAAACACTGTGCACGCCTTTGTTCGCCAGTGGGTGGGCTGCTCAGAGTTTCGAGTTTAGGATTTCATGGGTTGAGCGATGCGACGCTCTCCCAACCCGTGGATCCAATCAATATTGCTGTGCTCTGATGACGACTGAAACTCTTGCTACAGGTCTTAACCACCTGAACCCAGAGATGCAACTCAATCCAAACACACAGAGCTGTGTATAGGCTATCGGTCCAGCCGGCGAGAAAACTATAAACCCCAAACGAAAATTAAGGTAAACGCCTCTTGAAGACATGCAATCTCCAGTACGTCCACACCCCGAGCCACAAACAACCCTCCGCAAACCAAGCTTGAGGACAGGACAGAGCCATTAAGGCGACTATGCCTTTGTCAGGGTCCGTTTCGCAGCTTTGTTAGGACGGAAGTTCGGATGCTTGCGATTTTGACTACGACTCTAGTGCGAAGTAGGCATTAATGTAATGTATGCTATCAACTCGACTTGCATGAACGGCAGGTCGGACAGGACTAACATACTCAGCTTTTTCTGTGATATTTCGGACTGCGACGGTCGAACATGACAGCCGAGCGACGACGAAAACGGCGACGAGAGCTGCTACTGCGACTACTAGCTCCTCGTGGTGAAGGGTACAACAACAACAACAACAACTACTACTACTACTACTACTACTACTCCTGCTGCTGCTGCTGCTGCTGCTTCTGCTGCTACTGTTGCTGCTAGTGCTGCTGCTACTGCTCCTGCTGCTACTGCTACTGCTACTGCTGCTGCTGCTGCTGCTGCTGCTGCTGCTACTGCTACTGCTACTGCTGCTGCCACCGCTACTACTACTATTGCTGCTGCCGCTGCTGCTGCTGCTGCTGCTGCTGCTGCTGCTACTGCTGCTGCTACTACTACTCCTCCTTTTGCTACTGCCTCTACTGCTGCTGCTACAACAACAACAACAAAACAAGAAGACGAACAACATCAACACCAATGACACCACCAACAACAACAACGGCTGCGACTACGACGATGGCTAAGACTACGACTACGACTCCTGCTCCTACTCCCACGCCTACTGCTGCTGGTACTGGTACTGGTACTGGTACTGATGGTGCTGCTACTGCTATTGCTACTCCGCCTCCTCCTGCTGCTGCTGCTGCTGCCGCAACTCCTACTCTTGCTCTCATTGCTACGGCTACGCCTACAGCAAGTACTACTGTTGCTAATTCACAGACTAAGTGCAAAAACATCACAGAAAAAGAAGCGAAGACGGAGACGATAATGGAACGACCACACACACATGCTTCCACATCATGCAGTATGGCTCCAACAACCAGCATAGATGCAGGGTCCCTATCTTTATCTAGGCCACTGGTGAAGGAAGCAGAGATGAGCTTCCAGCGTATTGGACGAGGCGCCAGGTGCGGCCTGCCAGAACACACAACTCCCCAACATCTAGCTGCGCAAGCATACCTCCGCAAGCTGCAAGTCACGCAACATATGCAATGAACATAACCGGGGGATGGATTCCGGGAAGGGGTCCGGTGGGAGGAGGATCCACAAAAGGAGCAAACGACGTCATTTTCGCAACGAGCCGGACGATTCCGCACCCAAAACCACGTCGTTTGCTCTGGTTTGTGGGAGGCAAAAAGAAGCAAACGACCTTGTTTTCGCAACGAGCTTTTGTGCATGAACGACAAATCAACAGCCCATGCCGTCAAACTCCTAAACAACTATGGTTCCCTGTAGTACTGTATGTATGTATGTATGTATG